GTATAATGGGCTGTGTGATGGCCTTGTGAGTTTTGTTGTGGAGATATGTATAACATCTTGGTATAATGGGCTGTGTGATGGCCTTGTGAGTTTTGCCCAGGATATCTCCACAACAAAACTCACAAGGCCATCACACAGCCCATTATACCAACATCAACTCCATCAACCAATCAAGAGGCAGCAGCGCAGCCAACCAGCCCAGCACACCACCACCACCACCCAGTATTTATAGAGAGATGGCAGCTCTGATCACACACTGCTTGCACTGGCACGAAGCCGAAAGCACCAGCCTGAGGATGGCGAGTGGGACCTTGCCGAAATGTCGCCAAGATAGTCTTAATCTTACACGGGAAAAGACCCGAACACACCTAGACATATACATACATACATACATACATACATACACGTGTGTGTGTGTATACGTACACACATACACACACACACACACACACATATATGTACATGCATATAATTGTTTATTTTTTCTTTTGATCTTTTCTAATGTAAAATGTAAAGACTGAAATGTATGCCAAAGAAAATCCACCACGTTCAATATTTTTAATGTTCATTTTCAATAAATTAATTTTTTTTTCCAAAGCATCACATGTGCCACATGAATCACTGCTAAATTTTTCTCTTATTTTAGGCGGTGAATTTCTAGGGAGCCGTAACATTTCACAGAGCTGATTTCTCTTGGAATACAGAATGAAGCCCATAATATTTTATACCCAGCCAGAAACCTATTTTCTTCTGAACTTAGTGTGCCTAATGTATGAGTATATAAGACTGTGCTAGAAATGTTAAATACAAATTGGGGGTTTTTTGGCACCAGAAGTGGGCTCTGCCAGACCGCATACCAACAAATATTTGTAAAAGTGGGTGAGGTTCAGATAAGTTGACTTAAGGAACGAAAATGGGAGCAGGTGGATTGTCAAAGCGGCCACACACTGAGTGAATATAAACCAGTATATTTTCTTCTTCTAAAAATGAGAAGCCTGCCTGATTCAAATGGTTGCAGGAATTGTGTAGGTCTGGTTTAATGAAGAGAAGGACTAGAGGTGACATCATAGCAGCCTGCCAATATTTGAGGGGGAGAAGAAGAGGGAGTCAAGCTATTCTCCAAAGCACCTGAAGGCAGGAAAAGAAGCAATAAGGATGGAAAGTAATCAAGGAGAGAAGCAACCTAGTACTAAGGAGAAATTTCCTAACAGTGAGAACAATTAATTGGTGGAACAATTCATTGCCTCCAGAAGTTGCAGATGCTCCAACACTTGGAGGTATTTAAGAAGAGATTATCTGAAATGGTATAGGGTCTCCTGCTTGAGCAGGGGGTTGGACTAGAAGACCTCCGAGGTCCCTTCCACCTCTAATTATTCTGTCAAATTATCAGAGAAGGAAGGATTCTAAACCTAGAAAATACCATCCATTTCCAAAATAAAATCTGAAACTCCAGTTAAAAGGCATCCATAATGAAGATGTAATTTTCTCAGAAGGGGAGTCAATTTTAAAGACAAATGAATCTACGATGAGGAGTGCGGGGGGGAGAAATACTACAAATCTTGCCATGAGATGAGGATGGTGGAGCAGTTTAATCTGCCTCAAAGCTTTAACAAGGTGTATAAGGAAGGTTAACAATAAGAAATCAATATAGACCACTAATCGAGGGGGGGGGGTGTTGAAAGTCAAGCAAGTGAGTGACAATCTTCACTCAAAAGCAACGGGGTGTCAATCAATTCTGAGATGGCCAGGTCTCCCCCGTTGGGAATTAGTCAGAGCTAACCTCAGAAAGGTTTATACTAACCACCGATTAAGGAGCAAGCCACAAGCAGAGATTGCACTGCCCACACAAGAAACTAAACCAAGTTAAAGGCCGATTTAATTTGGCACAGCCTATTCTGCACTGGAGAGGATAGGACGTGATACCTTGATACCCAAATGTCCTGTCCATTTCCAAAGTTGTCAGGTAGTTTCCTTGTAACCCGAGTCTATCGATGGATAGATACGGTGTTTTCCCAAAAATACGACCTACCCCGAAAGTAAGTCCTAGCTTGATATTTACACATGCACCCAATACAAGCCCTACCCCCCCACCAAAATAAGTCCTGGTTAAGACCTCAACCACTCCGGCGTGCATAGGGTAGGATGAGGCACACAGGTAAAAATTAAGCTAGGGTGGGGATGGGGGAGTGGTGGAGCTGCCCTACGAACCAGGCCTCACACACCCCGATACATGCCTTGCCGGCCCACTTCTTTTGCGGCCACTTGCTGCTGCTTGCGCACGTCACCTCCGTTTAGCGGTCAGAGACCTTCAGGAAAGGCCTCTGCAGGCGAAATGAGGCCAGGGGGAGCCACGCGCCTCAACCCGAAGCCTGTTTCTTGGCTGCAGAGGCCTTTCTTGAAGGCCCCTGACAGTGAAATGGAGGCCGGGGGGGGGACGGGGGGGACACAACGTGCACAAGTGGCCGCAGGAGTGATCTGGCAGCAGGCTCCTGCTGGGCAGGGCTGTTGGTGCCCCCGCCACAAGGTGAGTCAGTGGAAGGGACACACAGACCGATAATAAGACCTGGTGACTTTTTTGGTGGCAAAAAATATAAGACTGGGTCTTATTTGCAGGGAAACTAGGCAGATATACATACATATAGATTAGATAGATTAGATAGATAGATAGATAGATAGATAGATAGATAGATAGATAGATAGATAGACAGACAGACAGACAGACAGACAGACAGACAGACAGACATATACGGAGATAGAGATATAGAGACATACGTACATATAGAGATAGATATACATACATAAAGATTAGATAGACAGACATACGAGTATAGATATAATTACTATAAGATAGTAGCGGGGGAATAGGTGGGTTTGTGTTGCAAAATATGACAATGAAGTTTACACAGTAAACAGCAGAGCTAAGATGGGGGCAATGTTAGGATTTTGGAGCTTAACACTAGTTGATCTTATAAAAATAAGAGCTTCAGAAAGACCTGTAAGGATCTAAGTCCAGGAGATCGTTTTGATCTAGTCAGCAGTTGGTCGGGGAGCGTGACCAGTTTCTCCTGCGCAAAATTCTACCTGGAGAGCCTGATTGATGACTCTGGGCTATGGAGGTGTCCCATTGGAGAATATGAATTACAATATACCCAGAGGGTGGAGGGAAAACCAGGGTCAAGGGTGACAATGAATGAAGTGTCTCAGAGTTGGCTACACCCAGGCAGTGCTGGCATGTTAACTCCCAATAAATCCTTTTTAAGTTTTGCTCGAGACTCATGATTTAAATGGGAGCCCTGACACCTAGAGATTTTTATCCCTAATTCCACTTTTCTAAAGGATGAGTAAAGCACCTAGCACACACTAGCTCTCTAAAAAGCACTAAATAAGTGTAAGAGTTACAGAAGCGAAAAGCAGAGGCTATGCCAACTTATATAGCCTCAATGTTGCAATGCACTCAAGTGTGAACAGTGTGGGATATTGACATTTCATTTTTTTTAAATGCCAAATGCAATCCTGTTCAGCAACTCACCTGCGTCTGTTTCTAATGTGCACCTCTAGTGGAGAAGCCTATCAGCAATTGCCAAATCATCTTTTAAAATGAAAATGAGGAAAGCAACGTCTAGGGATTTTTTTTTTAATTTCCTTCTTCGCCATGTTACGTTTCTCTCCCCAACAGCCCATGCAGGAAATTCACAAAATTTTGAGATTCCAGGATTTAAGGAATGATCTCGGCCGATCTTTAATTTTGTAGTGAAGAACCGTGAAGGGGAATAAATAGGGAAGAAAACGTTTATATTTGGACCTTCTTGCATGCCCTCTTTAATCCTACACCCTCGGTCAGCGCACTCCAAAAGTCGGCCCACAAAAGTGTGTGTTTTTAACTCGAGGTATTGTCGTGGACGTTACACAGCCTCTCTATGACCCAGTTTTGTTAACTTTCTGGGAGGGGGCTTCGTGGTATCCGAAGCAGAACAACTAGATTGTGTAATACCACATAATATTAACCTAGTTAACTTTCAAGACTCTTTTTTCCCCACAGTGTATTCTAAATGGTCTGTGTGATAATACATACATACATACATTCATACATGTTTGTGTGTGTGTGTGTACATAGACAGACAGATGATAGACAGACATAGGGATGATAGATGCTAGACATAGGACAGATAAATATACAGATATAGATAGATCGATAGTTAAATGATATAGATGATATCTACCTACCTACCTACCTACCTATGATCCTATATATCATCTAAATCTATATGTCTATCAATCATCTCTCTCTCTCTTTCTGTCTGTCTGCCTGCCTGCCTGCCTACCTACCTATCCTTTTGAGAGCAGGTATTAGAATTTCATTTTTTAATATATTCTTTCGGAAGCAGACGTCGGAATTTCATTTTTTTAATGTGTGTCAATATGTCCAGAGAAAAAAGTGACAATAAATAAAGGTTATCTTATTACATTTGCCAAGAGCTGTTTGGGGAAATGTGTCATCTTTCCCACTTTCACATCACAACCACAATTGGAAAAAAAAAAGCAGCCTTTAAAAGCATCGCAGAGAAAATTATAAATTTCCATGGTAATAAGCAAGTACATTATGAGCTACAGACTCTGAACAATCTTTTTTTCCTAACAGATCATCATGGTAAGATTTTGGGGTGCTTCTACACAAAAAGTTCACAATGCTACCGGCCAAAACGTATCACACCACTCATCTTCCCTTGCGCACAGAAGAAGAAACCTTGCACAAACACAACATCTGCCGAATTGCACACCAGTGTTAATTTCCCTGGCAATCATGGGAATGGTCTTACTGCAACGACAAACAGGGGGGGGGTGGGGGAGAAAGGGAGTTGCAATTGACAGATGTAAACCAATGCAAACCGATATAAGGCTGTTTGACTCAAAAGCAACAACATTTCAATCAATTTCGAGCCGCTCAATTAACCCCGGTGGCAGGAAAAATCGCAAAATGGGGCAAAACTCACTTCAGATGTCTCACTTAATGGAGTAAATTTTAGGCTCAATTTTGAGGACTACCTGTACTAACCCAGACGTTACCTAGTTGGGTCAGGTGACGTCTGCAAGCTAACCACGAAGCACAGAGGGCACTAAGGACCCTACAGTCCCTTTCTCGTTTTTCTCTTCCACTCCACAAACCCCACTCTCTCCCAGCACGGATGATGATGTTGCCTAGTTGGATAATGAAGGAAAGAAGTCATCTTAAGAGAGCACCAAGGACCTCTCATTTCAATCCTGAGCTAGAAATATTCTCCTTTATTGCCATTATCCTCTATTTATCTACCTACCTATGTATCATCTATCCATCACCTATCTATCTCTACTATCTACTATCTAGCACTGGTGATGTTGCCTAGTTGAGTCACGAAATGTCTGCAAAGAAAACAAGCCAGCTCAAAGAGCACCAAGAACCTCCATAGTCCCCCTCCTCCCTCTCCCCACCTCCTCCTCCTCTCCACACACCCCACTCCCTCCGACCACTGATGATGTTGCCTAGTTGGGTCACAAAACGTCTGCAAACAAAACAAGCCCGCTCAAAGAGCACCAAGGACCCCTCAATCCTCCCTCCCCTTCTCCTCTACTCTTCAAACCTCCCTCCTTACTAGCACTGATGATGTTACCTAGTTGGGTCAGGATGTTGATGTTACCTAGTTGGGTTTCTTTCTGCAAAGAAAACCAGCCAGCTCACAGCGCACCAAGGAACCCCTTGGCTAAACCATTTTATTAAGGAACAAAGCCTTAGGGAAAGAGGAAATATAAACAAGCCGCAAGCACAAAACCCACTGCCCCCATACACACACACACACACACAAATGTAAATCTACTTAAAAAGGGTGATTTAACTTGACAGGTCCTATAGAAATATATATATCGGCACATAAACATAAACACATGGGTGCAATTGCAAGTGTTTGCAAAGCCCCCTTCCACCCGGGTCTTCCAAGGTGCAAACCCCAAGCCCCCTTTGGCATCCTGCCTTTCCCTGCACCGCATTCCCACGTAGTCCCAGACACGGGTTTTTGTTTTTTTTGTTTTTAAACAAAATGACTTTCAATGACTTCAAAGCCATTTGGCATCTCAATTCGTCGCTCTGTTGCCCTTTGTCGGGTTCCAACTCGGCTGCCAAAATAAAATAAAATCCCCCCTTTCTTTTCCCGTGTACAGCATTCACACGTGCCAAACAGACCAAAAAAAAGAGGGAAAGCTGGCGGGGTCACGTGCGCCAAAGCGGACCCGGGAAACCGGGCGGGGGGACAGACGGGTCAACCCACTCCACAGCAGGGGCGACCGATCCGGAAAAGGCACCCCACACCGGGAAGAAAGGACCGAGGTCGGAGGGCTCACCTTCCCCGCCGCATCTCCGCAGCAGCAGCGGCGGCAAGTAGCGGCGGGAGCTTCAGCTCCGGTCGGCCGTCAAGCCGAAGAGCCTCGGAACCGAAGCGCCTCATCGAATGGAACGCCGCGACATCAGCCAAGCCTGGCCAATGAGGACGCCGCTTCCCGGCGCTTACGCGGAAAGGGCCCCGCCCCTTAGGCTTCGCGGAAAAAGAAGAAAAAAGCAAGACACAGGAAGCTAGGAAATGAAAGCCCTTCTATAGATCTTCCTCTATGGTTTGGAATTGGACTCCGTCTCGCCTCCTCGCGCCCTTTTCCCCGCCCTCGGTGGGTTTTTTTTAACCCCGAGCTCGTTTTTTTTAGAGCCGTTCTGCCAGAGGGGGCGCTGTTGCTGTTGCAGAATTTCCCTCCTCAGGGCGGAATTTTTTTGCAATGTTTAGATAGATAGATAGATAGATAGATAGATAGATAGATAGATAGATAG